GGTTCCTGGTGGAATTTTTTTATGAAATTTTTTGAACATCTCATTCATTAAGTCTAGTTTACTCATACCAAATTTCAGATAAAACTTTAATTGGGAAGGCATTCAAATGAATTCTTGAAAATAACTGCGCAGTTAGAAGAGCAGTTATCTTCAAGAATTCATTTGAATGCCTTCCCGATTGAAGTTTTAGCTGAAATTTGGTATGAGTAAACTAGACTTAATGAATAAGATGCTCAAAAGATTTCATCAAAAAATTCAAACGGAAACCACCCCAAATGGCGACGGCCGGACAGAGCCTCCTAAATAAGGGCTTATTTGACCTTTTTTGGTTAGTACATGAGCCTATTTGCACCTTTTTCCTAAAAAAATTGAATTGAGTAATCATTTTGGACACTTACTTCATGACAAAGGTGTAAGATTGGTAGTCGTATTCATCAAAACTTACCACATAAGACCATTTGGAGTGGTGAGGTATTAGGAGTCCAAAATGCTAAATGTAGAACTTTTGGACTCCTAATTGTATGTAGTGGTAGTTTAAAAGGGGTATTAAAAATGGAAGAGGGAATGGAAGATATTAAATATAGAGGGTTGATTAAGAGGGGAGTGGGAAAAAGAAAAAGAAAGAAAAAGAAGAGAAAAAAGAACATAGGTTGCTTTTCTAGTGCAGATGATGTCATGCTGATGTCATCCCTGCATCATAATATCCCAAAAAATTTAAACTTGTAAAACTTTTTTATTTTTTATCCAAATTTTTTAAAAAGTATATCAAAATTCATAAATTTTTATGATCTCTCATATGATACCAATATATAATATATAAAAATGATTTTTTTTGAAGTTTTAACTGTTGAAATTTTCTTGAGCCCCAGAAAAACATGAAACACGAATCTTTAATTCATGAAACCTTCACAAATAATTGAATATTCCATAATCAAACTTTACTTGAATTAAGTTCATATTTTGTTAACCAAAAAACATTAAAAAATTATTTAAATTTATTCATTTTTACATCGAAATATGTATTTTTTATTTCATAATTATTCAGCGAAAAACTTAAAAGGAAAACATTATTTATAATAATTTAATTAATGTTTTTCTAAGTTGATAGGTTAAAATATATGTTGAGTGTATTTTATTGATGGTGCTGGAATGCATGAAAGTGAGAGTCTAAACACTGTTTTCATATAGACGGAGTCCATATTTAAAGTTGTAGAAATGGGGTCCAATCTCTCTTTGCCATATCTTTTGTTAATGGAAGACCAGAAAGCGAAAAAGAAAAGGCTCGGACTCCTCAATATTCATTACCCTTTCTAGCAATGAACAGCTGTTTCAAGGAACATAAAAGAAAAAGAAAAATAAAGTGGTGATGACGAAATTTCTGTATTTTGACACCGAGGGTGGGCCTAAAGAAACAAATAAATTGAATTAAATCGAATAAAAAATAAAATTGAATACAAAATATCGAACTGAATTGTAGTTGCTCAATTCCGTTTCGTTATCGACCTTCAAAGTTGAATCGAATAAGTTGAATTAATAAAATATATTAAATTTTCTGTTAAAAAAAAATATACTCCATATTAAATTTTATATATTGGTCATCAAGCATTAATCCTTGAATTGTGTAGTACACTAGTACCGAAAATTAATTTTGGTGCTACATTTATAATCCGTATATTTATTATGAACTTCTTCTCGGTGAATATGTTAGGCTTTATTTGCAAACCCTACTCACAAGTGTTTTTGAACTTCTTAAAGTGATTTGAAAAAGAGGGTTTAATAGTAAAAGCTAGTAGTGTTTGAGAAAAAAGTAATTTTAAAAAATAAAAGTTGGTAGTGTTTGATAAGTAAGTGTTTTGTGTAATAGAAAAAGAAAAAAACATATTCTAACTTTTAGCTTTTAAGTATTAATTTAAGTAGAAGTTGTCACTTGAAAACACTTTTTTTACTTTTTTTAAAGCCAAAAGCTAACAAGCGCTTTTTAAAACTGTTTGAATTTTTGAATACTCCCTCCGTCCCTATTATATCTTCCAAATAGGTTTGGCGCGGAGTTTAAGATAGTGGGTATTGTGTGGTGGAGAGTTGTGCAGAGGAGAGAGAAATGTGTAAGAATTGCTGTGAACCACAAATTCTAGCCAAAAAAGGAAAGTGGAAGTTTTAATTGGGACAGACGAAAAAGGAAAGTTGGAAGTTTATTTAGGGACGGAGGGAGTATTTAATTTACACTTAGCCTGCCCAATTTACATACTCATACCTCCAATTTCATCTCTGGATGACAATAAGACAAATCACTGGACTTGTACAGTTGTACCGTACTAAGGCGGTTCAAGGAGGCAACCATTTTGAGAGTCCGAGGCCACAATAAACTCTAACAGGTTATCATTTTTTCGAAATAGACAGTCACAAAGCGATGATAATTGGCAACTGTTATTAATTAACATCTCCTTGAAATGTAAGGTGACATATGTTCTTGAATATTTTTGATAGGAGTATGACCCAATTTGATTATTCTTCTTTTGTTATTGTGTTTGTTCTGTTATATGATGGTTCTTTCCGACACTGGCGCTCCAGTGTGTTTGTCTACATCGGTGTGGAGAGTTGCTTGGGTGTCTCGGCCAGCTTCACATGATCAGAGGTTTATGCGTGCAATCTTTTGGGCTGCGTAAAGAAGGGTAAAGACATAAAGATTAATTTTGTCTCCACGTGTTCTAGGTCCATCCGGAATGATGTAAGAAGAAGAATTTAGTATTCACTCATATTACAACAACTCGTCCTCCTTTGGAACCACTTCCGTGACATGAAGAGTTTTGTGGAAAGGTTTTACCTCAGTGTTATTTTCTTTAGTAGTACTTGTTTTTATTTATTTCAAGTAAGTTTGATTTAAATTTTTGCATATTTCGTAAGCTTTTGATAGAAAATGTTTTGATTCTGATCATTTTAGGCTTAAATTTGTCCGTTGCGTGTCTAGCGAGTCAGATTGCTTTTTATGAGGTGACCGACTCTATGTATATTCCTAGAGCTCATGATCGGATCTATAATAACTGTGTCAGAGTTGTCTTGCATGCTTTCCTCGATATAACTACAAAAGTCGCTCTTTTATAATAAAAAATAGTTAATTTACACTTCGATACCTAGTATGGAGTATTACCCAAATATATAGAAATAATGGCCTGGTTATTACTAATTGACTTTTCATTTCCAAACATAAGAGTCTTCTCATTTATTACAAAAAAGTGACCCTTTACCTTTCTCCTTTCTCCATTTGACGGAATCGACGCAAGGCATCGGCTAGGCTATTCTGCATCTCACGGTCTTGCATCTTCACAGCACCACCGCCGCGTCGCGCACCACCACCACCGCTTCGCGCACCGCCGCCGCCGCCGCGTCGCGCACCACCACCGCCACGTCGCGCACCACCACGACCGCGTCGAGCACCACCACGAGTTGCAACCACAATCTCCGCCGCAATCGGTCATCCCTAACGGTAGCATCTTGCACCTCCGCCCTGATCTTCGTCTAGCTTCTCTGTTGTCGTAGCTAGCCGCACCTCCGGTGTACGATGGCTCCGATCCGAGGCCTCCGGATCCAGATCCATCTTTCTCAAAGGTTGGCAACTCCGATTTGGGCCGTCGGTGCCGGATCCGGCATAATCCAGGGACAATGGCTCTAATTAGGGGTCTGATTTGGGGCCGCTGCTGTTGGGTTCCGATTTGGGACCGCCGCTGCTGGCGGTGATGTTATGGCTGGGGTTTGTGTGAACTGGCCGGAGAAGGACCTGGGGGGAGGACAGGGGTGACGCTGGGGGCTGGGGACAGGGGAATAGGGCTGGGGGCTGGATGTTGGGGTTGAGAGCGGTGGCTGGATGTTGGGGCTGAGGGCGGTGGCTGGTGATGGTGACTGGCGGTGATGACCGGGAATGGCTGGGTCACTGTGATGCTGGCAGCATGGATGGGAGGGGAATGGTGGAGCGGTGGCTGGGAGGGGGGCTTTGGGGGATGGGGAGGTGGCTTGGGAGGGAGGGTGTTGAGGAGGTTACCGGGGGTGGGGCGGTGGTCAATGGTGGCGGTCTGCGGTAATGGTAGGCGGTGGCGCTAGGGCGGGGGTAAGCTAGGGACGAGGCTGAGGGAGCAGTGGAGGGATGGGGCATGTGACACCGGCGACGGCGTGTCACTGTGACCAAAGTTGGTGTGTCACTGTGGCCGGTGGGCAGTCACTGTGGCCGGTGGGGCAGTCACTTTGGCGACGGAGTCACTTTGGCCAGAGTCACTTTGGCGGGAGTCACTTTGGCGGGAGTCACTTTGGCGGGAGTCACTTTGGCCGGAGTCACTTTGGACGGAGTCACTTTGGTCGGAGTCACTTTGGTCGGAGTCACTTTGGACGAAGTCACTTTGACCGGAGTCACTTTGACCGGAGTCACTTTGGTCGGAGTCACTTTGACCGGCGGCGGCGGCAGCGGAGATAGTGGTGGCGGCGGTGCTGGGTCGGCTGCCATGGAGCTGAAGTGGTGGTGGCTGCAAAATATGTAAAAAAGGAATATTGAAATAATAAATGTATGATTAAATAAAAGGAATAAATGACTTTTAGTCACACTTTTGGAAAAATTTAAAACATGTCACTTTTTTGGGGTTTTCATTCAATTTAGTAATATTAGAATAAAAAGGCCAAATATATATTCCCCACTACTTATCCCATTTTAGGGGAGACACTTTTCTTTTTGGTGTGTCCAAAAAATATGATCATTTTCTTAAATTGGATTTCACTAACTTTTTACTTTCTTAAATTACCTTATCTCTTTATCTATGATTTCACCATTTACTTTTTGCGAACTTATCTTACTTTTTTTTTTACTTTTTGGATGTATGTTAGAATGGTAAAACAGTCACTTTAATTTTTATTTTCTTAAAACATGCACCAAACTCAAGTAATACTACATACCGATAGTATAACGTATGTCTAATGTTTTTTATTTATGTTTTTGTTTTGTTGCGTTAATGGTGATATGTCTTTGTTGCTTATTACTATAATAATTTTTTTTGAATCCTAGTCCATTCCTCACTTAAATACCGACTTCTAACTCCTTTCGGACTACAAATGGTCTAATCCCCACTGTATTCAGAGTTCAGTTCAAAATTTGGAGTATCTGACCTTACTTCCTCTTTGCTTTATTTTCCTCTGCACTCTCTGGTCTCCACCTATATTCCCCATTTCTCTCAAGCTCCCAAAACTAGGCCCTGTTTGGTCGAATTATTTATAAGCAGGAGCTTAAAAATGGCTAATAATAGAAAGCGTAGCTCACTCAGGCTCACTGTGCTGGGCTCAATAGCTCTGCTCCTCTTAATTGTTGGGCCTGGATTGGGCTCCTCTCGATTCCCGACCACTCTAGTCGCCCCAGCCCAGTCGGGGGTGTGCGCCTCTATTGTTTCACCGCACGGTTACGAATGCCAGGAGTACGAGGTAATTAATTGAGGAACAAGAAGAATTAATAATATTCCCTTCGTTGATTCCCAGTAAATCTGATCTAATGTTTTTTTTTTTGATAAAATCTGATCTAATATTTGATTGTTCAGAATAATTGAATAATATTAAAATATATGTACTGGTTTACAGGTGACGACTAAAGATGGGTACATTTTGAGCGTCCAACGAATTCCGGCAGGCGGCGACGGAAAAAGTGGCGACGGCGGTCGCGGACCGCCTGTCTTGTTACAACACGGCGTTCTTGTGGTAAAATAAATAAAATCATTTTTAAGCTTTTATTATTATCATCATCATATCATATTATTATGATTATATTCCCTCCGGTTTTTAATAAACTTCACACTTTCCTTTTTGGCACGGTCTAAAATAAACTTCACACTTCCTTATTTCCTTTTTTGGCAAAGAAATCTACATCAAAACAGTGCCAAACAGTGTCTCAACAGTGCCAAACAGTGTTTCTACAGTGTCAAACAGTGTCTCTAGAGTGCCAAACAGTGTCAAACATTGCCTCAACAGTGTACTCTACAGTAAAGTCAAATTTCTTTCCTTACTTTGTGTGAAGTCAAACTATGAAAATTAAAAAAACCGGAGGTAGTATAATTGTTCTGATTTCTGAACATAGTTAGCTGCTACCGGATATTTTGCGGAAAACCATGTTCTTCGACAACCGTGAATAAACAATAATTGTTGTCGCCGGTATCTTAGATTAGTGTAAGAATTATGACAGGGATTATGCTCTCACGCACGCCTCCCAATATTCCCATTAGTCTATTTTGGATCGATAAGAAATCCTTTTATTACTCGATAAACATCTCGAGAGATATAGTCATGGAAATAAATTATTGAAATTTATCTCTTTTTCTTCACATGGTCTTCTATAGGAAAGAATGACTAAAATACGGCTGACTTCAAAATTATACCGTACATTTGGTTGTACGGTGCTCACCGTCTAACCAGATATTTAATCTCACACAGTTACACGTAATGAGTATTACATTTAAAAGAAAAAATGGGCGGTGGATCCAGGAATGAAGGGTGGGGTTTAAAAGAAATGAGCGGTGGATCCAGGAATGAAGGATGGGGTGGGCTAAGTACAAAAAAATGTTATTGCAATCAAAAAGTTTAGTTTAGAGTTGTTATCGAATCAAGATTTTTCGAACTACTCGAGTTTGAGCGTGATTTCAAATATAATTTAACGACCAGAGCTTAAATAGCTTTTTTGAACTTGAACAAATGCTAGATTTTGAGTTCGAATAGTTATTCAAGTCAAGTTCGAGCACAGTGATATTCGGTTCGATCCGAACTCGAACTCGTCGATAACTCATAAATTATAGGAATAAATTTTATTTATCTTAAAATTTAAACATTTTTAGTGCAATATTATAAATCTATTAAAACACTAGCTAAAAAAAAGAATTAATACAACAATTTTATTCAAGTCGAGTTTGAGCATAAATGAATAAACACTATTTTATTATTTACTCAAAAATTCAATTAATAATCAAATAGAATCATAACACTAATAAAACTAATGCACAAAATAATAGATTAAAAGAGTATTAGAGTATATGGGGATGGTTGGACAACTAGACTCGGCTAGAGGCAACTAGTCGGACTCGAATAGACTAAAGAGGCAGACTTACAATGAGCTACAGGCTGGATGTCGGACTCCAGAGAGACACCGATGGCCAATGGCCGATGTAGGGGAGAGGACGGCAGGTGGCGGCGCGGCTGGGTGCTTGTATTTGTGACTTCATGGTTCGTCGCTTTACTGAGTTGAGTCCTTCCGGGCCTCCGGCTTCTACTTTATGCTTCTTAGTCGCTTTATAAGAAAAGTATTCTTCTAGAGTTCTAAAAATCACAAATAATAGTTCTTACTATGCTTGTTACAAAAAATAGAACTAGACAATGAGCGGGAATGCGGGATGATGGAAAAAGCATAATAATATTAATAATGATGCTGATGATGACGACGACAACAACAACAACAATAATAGTATATGACCAAATAAGGATAGTGGATAAAAAGTGACTTAGTTATTTTATATAATAATTATAATTAGTTTATATTTTACAATTAGAATTAGAATGCTTATAAAAGTTACTTGTAGTGACTTGGGTAAAAAAAAGTATCCTTACTTAAAGTTACTAGCATTAAAAAAAATCATGATAATAATAGAAGTAATAATAATAATAATAATTATAGTAGTAGTATTAATATAGTAATAAGAGTAATATACTAATATAATATTCATCATAAAATTATGTTGTAAAATAATGTTGTAAACTTGTAATATAAAGTGCTATCATTGATGATGTGGGTGAGTGGGTGAGATGGGATTGCATATTTGCATCCAACTCCCAACACAAACTTAACTGTATACGATTGTATAATTTTTTTTTAGTTTACGATTGTATAATAATACTTCGTATGTAAAGTTTTGATCTTATCAATTTTCCCACACCGGTTTCAAGGATGGTTCACCCTCTGGAGTGCCTAATAAATATAGGGAAAGCTATTAAAGAAACCCCCGTAGAATAGTAAAAAAAAGTAATTGAGCCCTCGTACTATAAAAACACTCAATCAACCCCTCGAACTATACAAAAACACCAAATTCTTACATTTAGCCGGTTAAGGACAAGTTCCCTGCGTTACCACCTACGTGACTTTCCACCTGTTTTTTTAATGTTTTTTGGGAGAAAGACCAAAAATGACACCAAGATTTTTTATGAAGCTCAGATTAGACACTAAAGTTTTAAGTAGACCAAATAAACACAAAATTATAGTTTTTGGTTCCATTTTGACCACCCTTTAACTCCTCCTTTAACATCCCTTTCCCGTTAACTTCCCCATCATTCCAAAAGCCCCTGCCCCACCCCAGTCCAACACCCTGCCCCTCCCCAGCTCCAGCCCCTGTCCTGCCCTTGCCACCTCCCCATCTCCAGATATGAGCAGCCAAACCCTGATCCGCACCTCCCTAGCCCAAGCTCCGACCAGCCATCCCTAACCTCCCAAACCAGCCCCAGCCACAGTCCCCTTCCAACCCCCTCTCAGCCTCGTAGCCCTTGTCCCCAGCCCAATGCCATCCCTCACCTATTGTCGTTGCGTACAACCGCACCGTCGCCCACCCATAGCTGCCGGCGAGATGCTCCAGATCGAACGGGGCATCTCTTTCTTTATTGAAATCGAACATAACTCCATATATTGTACTTCAACCTCGTCCACCAGAATTGGGAGTCTCAAAGCTTTCACCCTATTTAATAAACTTCTTCTTCAAGCCTTGATTTGATGAACCAGAAACCCAGTCAATCTTAACTGGTCATCCAAGCAACGCAGTAAAGTCAAGATACATCAAAAGCAGTAAAAATGGAAATCTTGGGAAGAAGATGAGAGAAATTGATGAGCTCACAAGGTGGTCGGTCATGGCAGGTCTCCTCAGCCAACTTCCCTCAGCTCTCCTGGATCCAAGCCAACTTTAACTAGATGGGGAGTTAACGGGGAAGGGTTGTTTGACGGGGAAGGCGTTAAAGGGTGGTCAAAATGGAACCAAAAACTATAATTTTGCGTTTATTTGGTCTACTTAAAATTTTAGGGCCTATTTACTAACAGAGATATTTTCCAGTTTTCCAGAAAACTGGAAAACAGAAAACAGGAAACTTGTTTACCAAAGAAAATTGCTGGAAAACTGGAGAAAGGAAAACAGAAAAACGCGTTTACCAAATCGTTTTCCAAAACGAAAAAAATGGCACATGTCTCTCTGTTCCTTGAGCATTTGGAGAAGTGACTTTTACTAGTTTTCCAAATTTGGAAAACGCAGATGCTACAGTGCTGCTGCAATGAATTTGCATACTTACACCTAGTGGTGGGTCCGGTCCCGCTCCGATTTCGATTCCATTCGGGTACCTCCATTCTCGTACCTTACTCGTTACCCCTACCCTACCCACCATACCCCCACCCCGCATACCCCTTTTCCCTACAATGACCCTACCCCACCCCCTACCACATGCCCCAACCTTGGCCCCACCTTGATCCACCCTACCCTACCGCCACCCCTACCACCTCGACCCCACCCCGACCCACCCTACCCTACCCCACCCTCGTATATTACCCCTTACCCCTTACCACATGCCCCCTACCTCGGCCCCACCCTACCGCCACCCTACCGCCATCCTACCCCCCACCCTACCGCCATCCTACCCCCCACCCTACCCTTACCTCGGCCCCACCCTGATCCCGACCCCATCTTAGTCTGTTTAGTCTCCACACTAATTTCATATCAGTGTTCATTCTTACATGGTCAATTTATTTATTTTCGTCTTTATCTTTATATAAAATAATAAATAATAAAGTATTTATCTGTGTTTAAAAAAGCGGACCTGGAAGCAACCCAACCACAAGATCGGGTCATGGGTCGACCCGGTCAAGGCCAGGAAACTAGTCTACAATTATATGACCATATATAATACGTAATACATATATAATTATATATAAAATTAAAATAAAATGTAATTATTATCCATAATAATTAACTACTAATAATACTTGCTATGCATTTATAACATTATGATATTCCAAAACACAATTTGATCCTATTTAAAGACATAATGACATTTGTTATTTGTATTGTACATTAATAATATAATTTGATATGATTTTGATTCTTAATACATATATAAATATATGACATATTTTTCCTTTTTAGGGTATTGAAGTTGCAATTGTATTGGTTTCAAAAAGTTTAAGAAAATTAAAAAGAATGTTACGTTTTTGGAAATTCAAATAAACCCAAGTTATTTTGAGTTTACCGGGGATTTTCGATTTGAGTCTGGACCGAGGTTTCCAGTTCAACCGGGTTTTGGGGATTTTAGCCACTTCTGAGTGTTTAATTGGGGGGGTTGGAGTGGGGAGGCTCAACCCGACCAGTTCGGGTCGATCTGGCCGGTCTGTGTTGGTTTTTTAAACATGGGTATTTATGAGTTTTTTACTCGAATATTCCCAATTCTGTCCGAAGTCTGGTTCTTAGTTATGTAGTACAATATCTGCAAGGAAAAATTGACACGAATAATCCCACCTTTCATCGGTCTTCTCATAATAATCCCACCTTTACGTAATCCCAGAATAATCCCACCTTTGCACCCCATCTTCTTTCATTGGACCTTGATCAAGTTTTTTACTCTCTTTTTGAAAATCATATAAATAATCTCACATTTCACTTTTTTATTATATCTTTATAAATGTGAGATTA